CCGGGCCTCTAGTAGTATACATAACAAAATTTGCCATTTTAACTATGTAAGTGTGCATCAGTGACATTAAGTACATTTGCAGTGTTGCACATCCATCACCACTATGCATTTCCAGAACTTTTCATCTTGCAAACAGAAGCTGTACATTTTAAAGTTCTTGTTCCTTTCTCCACCCAGCCACTGGTAACCTCTATTCTACTTTCTGTCTCTATTAATTTGCGTACTCTAGGTATCCTCATGTAATCAGACTGGAAGGGAAAAAGGACAGTGAGTGAATGAATAGGAGATAGATGGTAGGTGGAGGTGATGAGAATGGTGTTTTGTTTGTTTGTTTGTTTTTCAAGATGGTTGTATTTGAGCCTAAGAGATCCCAGTGACAGGGAAGTTGAATAGCTGAGGTTTGCAAAGCCATAGTAAAATTAGGGTACTAAAGAGCAGGAGAGAGTGCCAGCATGGTTAAGGGCAAGATTATGAAAGGAATAATTTATCAAGATAAAGTTTGACTTTTAATACTACTTACCATCAGAATTTGAGTACCTTTGCCAGGTGCTGGACACAATTATCCCTATATTACTGGTAAGAATTTAGGCTGAGAGAAGTAATTTGTCAAAGACCAGCTTTTAGTGGTGAGAAATAGAGTGAATAAATAAAATGGAATCACTATAGTCAAGCTGCTAAATTATTGAAAAAAGCAGATTGAAGTATGAGGAAATGATTCTACTCTTGTTTTAACTAGCCTGGGAACTGACTTTTGAAATTTCTAGTTCAACATCAATACCTGGATATACATCAAACCTCCAGGTGACTTTCTGATCATTTTTTGAAAGACGAAGGAAAGAATGTTCACATATCCAAACTACTGACAGCCATTATCCAGACCTCAGGTCATCTAGATTCTAGACAAGAGGATTACCATTCTGGACCAATCCAGAGGCTATGAATGCAGAACTCATTCTTTTCACGAATGTAGTTTTTACTGTTAGAACGCTTAGCTTTTCTGTCTTTTTCAGAACACTCTGGGCATTGCCTAGCTGTGTTCCAGTTTGCAAATCCTAAGACCCTTGAATAAATATCATTTATTTCTAGCCAAAGCCTCCAGTTTGATGAACAGTGTGTAGGCTGGGATTCCAATCCAGATTTGTCTGGCTGGGATGGGCTGCAAGCTGAAGTTTTAACATCCTAATTTTATAACTAATTCCTATTCTGTCACCTTGCTTAAAACTTCTACGTATATGGATTCCTTCCCCACCACAACCTATGCCATCAATTAATTCCTGTAGCTTTCTTGTGTTCAAATCTTTCTTTACACCTTTGCTGCTATGGCCCTAACACATTTGATTCCTATTCTCTTAATCCTCTTAAAACTTCCAAAATAGCCAAAGTAAAACCAATGAATCACTGAAGTAGTAAGTAATAGAAGTTTATTGTGCAAACCAGGAGCACTCAAACTAAAACATGGAATGAGGCTCAGGGGTATCCTATATAATAAAGAGGTAATATGCAAATTGACCATCACACCCTCGCACAAGATGGCTGCCCCCATGTGGTCACAAGATGGCCAGCAGCGGAGAGCAGTTGGGGGCAACCAGGCTGGCAGTGGAAGACAGTTGGGGGTGACTGGACCTTCAGGGAAGGACAGTTGGGGGTGACTGGGCCAGCAGGGGAGGGCAGTTGGGGGTGACTGGGCCAGCAGCGCAGGGCAATTAGGGGCGATTGGGTCAGCAGGGGAGGGCAGTTGGGGGTGAATGGGCCTGCAGGGGAGGGAGGGCTATTGGGAGGGATCAGGCCGGCAGGGGAGGGC